ATATAGTCCCTAATAGTTTCATCCTTTCATAGTTTAGTTATGCACAGCAGTAGGGTTGAAACCCATCAAGAATGTGCGTATGTAGAACTCGCGACCTACGTACGTAATTGAACCGTTAAAACAAGAAGATAATAAAGAAACTTTTTGGCAAAGTATCAGATAAACATTTAGATGACCCAGTAACCAGGCAGTCCACCGCGTATATTATGCGATGGCTGATGGTACTACGTAGTTGTCCATGATGGAGTAGGTGGATTAGAGACTGAACCTAGGATCCATTCGCTGAAAGCAGATTGCTTGAGTCTGTGTGTACCAGAAGATATTAGGATTTTTGGCGTTCACGCCGAAGGTGGAGCATTTGATTATTATAACTTAGCGATACAATTATATATCCGTTTACCTTTGATTCACTTGTTTAAATATATCGGTATACAAATCACAACCTCACCAAGATCTTGACCAGTACATTATAATAATCAGTGATTTCATTCTATGCTCCAAATTAGTACAGTCACCATTCATAGTGAGAACCAAGTCAGCTAGCTTAAAACGCGAAAAGAAATGATAAATGGTGTTTTATCCCAACTTCTCCCCAAGTAAGTATAACACAAACAAACAGGGTTAAAAACTAATCATGTTGCTGCAAATTTCTATGAGACACAGATTGTTGCCTGAAAAAATATTACGAGCACCTTCTGGGGACTTAAAATCTCCGTCAATTTAACCGTTTAACACAATTCACACGCAATACAGCTTTTATCACGCTCTAGCACTTTAACATTCCTCAATTTGAGGGCGGCATTGGGTGAGGAGGTGTCATGGCATCTTGTCACCGTGATATATTTGCCGAGAAACTGAATTGCAACAAACGTGACATGCTATTTGAACTCATGAAGCTATTACAACCGGTGGTGTCCGTCAGAGTGCCTAATGTCTCCATCGTGTCACAAACGTAGTATCAGATAATCGGTGAAGTTGTGAGGCTACATCAGTTGATATGTCTGGCACATATATACCGAGTCATCGCTTTTTTTGACAGGCAACGCATACTGATCCAGGACTAGGTTATATAGTTGTTCAGATTGGTCAAACCAAAAACTGCCACGAGTTCATGAAGTCTATGTCTGTTGGTTTGAGCCATGTGGGGAGGTGTGGCCTGTCTATATAGGTTGCTAGTAACGATTAATTCGGTCTATTGGTAATATGGCTCGAGGATATTCTCTATGGTTCCCATGCATTCACTTCTCATTACTTCCTAAGTCCAATGATTCCTTCTGCTTCTCTATCTAATTTTTTCACCCCTACGCTTGCACCCTTTATAATTCTATTGATTTTTTATTATTACTTTACTTTGAGTAAAATCCTTAAATCTCATTTATGACTGGACATAAAAATCAATTAACCTCGACGAAAAATTCACTGCGCTGAATTGCCTCTCACTGTCATCTTCACTCAGTGGGCATCTTCAGCGATTTTAACGGCGATGACTTAACAAAGTCTCGGGCCATTATTGCACCCCCTCTTACAATCCGTTTCAATTTAAGTTGAACGTCTGAAAAAGTTCAACAATTAGAAGTGGAAAAATCACTAGATTTTTTAAGGGCTTTTCACGATTAAAAGACGCACGTGTTAAAGCTAGAGAACTTTACGCTAGGTACTTCGACAAAATTAGTCCCGTGCACCCATTTGTAAACTCCACTACGTTGAAATAAACACTTTACCAATTCGCATTGAGACGGTTTGAATTGGAACATATTAACGTCTCCACGCAGGTGGTTCTTTGATGTTTTCTTTCTAAAGATAGTCCTTCACACTCACATCGTCCAGAATCTAAAGAATGATACAGCAGCTACCAAAACCATACATGTTGACTTCGAATGTGAAATACTTATTCAAATTTTCCACTACAAGATAAACGGAGTCTTACGTCTAATACTTTCCTCGGGTCTGCCGGACAGGTTATATACATAATTCCACGTGACAAACTGAGAATCTTTAAGTAACGAACATGACTTTGCTTTTCAAAAACTCTGAAACAGGAAACTAGATTTTATTGTCAGTCATTCTTCTACTACTAATAATAATGTATTCTCATTTTTGTACATGGGTGAATGCAGTTTACAGGTATCATAAATTCCATAAGTTACACATACGATTAGCAAGTATTGTTAGTAATGATAATATAATAAGGTACATATTTATTCCTACAAATGTAGGACACACCAGCTGTATAGGCATGGATAAGTATTATTTAAGTTACATATTTAAATTACATGATTTACGGTTAAATAACATGATTGCTGCCATTTTATATTTAGTTTGTGCGAAATATCTGATAAATAGTAATTCAAAAATATATATTCAAAAATATAAAGATCCAAATAAGCAAACTTATTTAAATCCTAAATCCATGGGGATTTTGTCCAAACGGTAAATATTATCGTTAGAAAACCGTTCCAGGCTGAATTTCTCGCAGTCTTTTGGGTTACTGAATTGTAGAAAATCAAAGGAATTCGTCAGTTCAACAGAACTTTGGCCAATCCGCCTTCAGCGTTCAGTCCGTTTGTTTGTTTAATCATGCTGTGGAAAATTGGATTTTCATTGGACAAGAATCTGATTTCTACGGTCCGGCGTACGTGCTGAAACAGTCTTATTATGCACCCCCTTAACTGCGTGGAGCAATGTTTATAACAGTCTTGCCAGCATGTTAAGAAGGTCAAGCTAAACAGTCAGCAGGTGGTCCAGCCTAATTTCATGTCCACCAAGATAGGTAGTCACACGAAAGTCATAGGGAATATTTCTATTTGAAGTCAACCGGAAACTATCTAGAATTTGTTCAGGCAGTGTCAGTAACTATCCTCCAAGTATGTCAAATGAACTGCAATTTGACGTTGACCTGTTCATTCACATCTCTGATAAATTTCTGGTTCATGGTCACTTGAACCGTCATAATCTGGATTCGATATTCTTACTGCCTGTCACATTTCGAAGCATGCGCGCTTAGCCTCTATACTGTCTATTGTAACCCTCGCAGAGCTGTTGCGATGGAAGAAAAATTTGTTTTTCGAAATTTACGTTCTACATTTTCTACTCGGGTTAATCCTCCAGCCGAAGTGATGTGTGATCACAATTTTTCACAGTTAACCTTATTAACGACGCCTGTAATTGAAGTCCTTAATACCTGTGTAAATTATTTGTGTTGTTTCACATGTAATTTTTTTTAGCTGGGCATTCAAAGATTCTGATAGTTTACCTTTACTACTTTTTATTGTCTGACCGTCAGTACATTATCAATGTGGCAAGCAGTTTACATGCCCACTGTTTATAGCTGATGGCTTTTCTCAAAATTTACCAATGTAATCTATGCTTTATAATATGTAGATATAATGTCCAGGTGGTAACATACTTATCCTGCTTTTTTGGAAGGCAAACTCATTTTCCCTCGAAAAATTGGCACTTTTCTACTCAAATTGTGTTAAAGATATATTACATAGCGGGAAACTACAAAACAATCATTGGTATCTCCTATAAATCACCCTTCAGAAGTCGAATATGTCTTTTTACATATGAATCGACGATTTATACCTTCTAATAATATGAAACTAGGGAAACATATGTCTTTCGAATCCGTCTTTCCATATCTATGTATGCATCTCAGACATCAGTCAATGAAGATAATGTCTAATAACATCAGTAACAATACAAACAGAATTCCAGAAGCAATTCTGCATAACGCCACTTGAATGCTGACCATAAGCTTCTCTTTACTGAAGTCTTAATTCTGAGGTGATGCATTTAGCCCTTGTGATCTGTTAATAATTATCCATAACTAATGATGATTTATCTCATTGATGGGTCTGATAAAGGAATTTTACAGAATAGAACTCTTTTTTGTTGCGAAGCAAAAATGATCCATGCTGCGTCATCAAGAGAAGCACTAGCAATTTCAGCTAAAACAGAATGAGTCGAAATTTATATGGCAAATATATACCAATGAACTCACTACTTAAGAAGAGATTCAAGTATCTCTTCAGTGAAGTGACCCAAAGTCATTTTGTTTCCTAACCACGAATTTGAGCAGGAAATCTTGCTAAACTATAGATTACTGATGGGAAAATTACTTATAGTAACTGATAGATAAGTATTTATTTTTTATTTTATTTTTTTTGATTACAGCTTGATTCCACACCGTATTTTCAGTACAAGTATGGAACTTTCAGCATGGATATCGGTAGCCCAAATTTCAGGCGGACCATAGATATCGGGTGTGCGCCGGCAGGGGATCGAACCCCGGACCATGTGTATGGTCGGCGAGAGTCCTAACGACTGTGCCACCGACGCACGTAACACTATTCAAGTAAGTGTTAGTTAACTTTTCAGGCTGGTAGCGGTTGCTAAGGTTGCGTGTGTATTGATGGAAACTCGACAATAATAGTTAAACCAGACAGGACGTGGAATCATTTAAACAAATACAAAACACCATAAGCGAACACTTGTGATGCAGAGGTTAATTTAGTTAGTTGTTACTTCAATACTGATACTTTCACCTTGATCTCTATTATACTTTTATACGTACAGTAGTAACTATGGACAAAGGAATAATGTTCAATATAGTCTAAAAGGAATTCCAACAATAGCGTAGTAGGGAACTGTTGTATAATTTCTCTTCGAAGTGTGTTATTTGCGAAATGCAAAACACTTCCAGAATTCAATTGAAAAGTATAAGGTTCCTCAACCGAGAAGTTTGTTCTAATTTATTCGGCAAAGGCTTCTGAAACAAAAGCTAGTCACACCAGAACTGATCTTCTAGATATTTAACCTGTATTCTGAGACTACACATATATGGAAATATAGGAGGGGTCTAATCTGCTCTTATTGTTATGAACAACAACACAGATTATGACTCTGTGTGTACAGTGTATGTTCTTCCTCAATGCATGCTAAGAACTGATGTAGTTTCGGATATCCACTTTTACTTAGCAAGAATGAAATTTCAAGGTCAGTTGTCCGGAGAGCGCATGTTTTGGACTTAGCTCTACGTTGTCACATGGTTAGTTTGTTACTAGTTTGTTTCAGTCCTCAAGGCAGTTTTACAGCATAAGTTTACATTCGCTTGTACGTATGGTTAACCAGGTTGCTTTTCGGTAGTTCTACATGTGGATTCTAGTATGTGCCTAGAAGCGTTTACCAGATGAGCTGGTTCCATATCAAAAAATGTGCAGTAACCTGTATGACACTTTTCGTTACAGGTCATAATATTCTTTATCAGAACTATTAACAACACAGTCGCTCAAGAGTGCACCATGCTAAGATAATACCAGCATAATAAATGATAAAAGTTTGGAGTTAAAAGAGAGGGTGGCCAGGTAGGCATTAACATTAGAAGCGTCCGTTACCTTGCATCTATATTTATGGTAATGCTAAAGCTTCTCAACTCCCTAGCATTGGTTGACACGCTTAATTGTGTGATAGCACTAAATTTAAACACTGAGATTTCCGTACTCTATCTAATTGCTCGATGGAGAACTGACTCTTGGAGTAAAACTTAAGTTACGAGTGTCACTTTTACCACTTGGTCAATATTAGCCAATTCAATCAAAATTAAACCTCACTTACTGTACTAGACACTCTTAAGCCTGGAAAAGTGGGTAAGTTGGGTGTGACTCTAGCAATCTCACCTTAGCAAATAAAACTTCGAAGCACAGGAGTAAATACTGAGTACATATTATGTTCTCGTGTTATTCATTGAGAACTCAAATAGACGACATATATTCTCACTTAACGTTTAAAACATACTTATTTCTCTATGAGTGCAGACTGAGGGACATTGAGGAGCAGGTTGTTTGTGAAACAGTTAACCGAGTATGTATTATGAGGATCGTAAGGGAGTGCTTTTTGATTCGCAATAATCAGGCTTCTGTTGTCTTTCCTTAACCTGCGTATATCATCTAGCGTAATCTCATTTGTACAAGATGGATCAAAGTAAGTTAACCCTATAATTTCACCACTCTTCTTGACTTACGCTTGCTGGTTACAGATGTGTTTGTAGATTTACCAGGGCATTAAAAGTCGTATTGTCTCTTGCATACCTAACAATTTTTTCTGCGGTAATACACATAAGGTCTGCAATGTGTGGGAGAATATCCATAATCACAAGTAATTGCATCTCTGTGGTCGCTGTCACTTTTGTCATCCGACGTTCTTTCTTGATAAGTTACGATGAGTACCTCAAGAAGAAGCGTTAACAGTCTCTGAGGTGGCTAATATTTGACTTTAACCATGTGTAAGCCATTGGGTTTTGTTTCCCATAAGACAGCAGTATTCGTACATTGGAATCGTTTATTGACATTGTTTAGGACCGTTTACAACACCATTTTTATGTTTATCCGTCTTGATGTTAGGTTTATTGCCAAATGATGATTTGACCCTCATTTCATTTTTATACCCAGTGCATTTCAGTAATTTTCCCCACACTCACATAGTGAAATGTGATGAGTTTAAGATAGTTATACAACATTATACTTTTCTTAAATTTAGGTGATTGATTTGGAATTAATTTTTGCAAACCCTTTGTCTCAGAATAGATTTGTTCAGTATTAGAATAAAAGGAAAGATGAAGAAGGATACAAGCTTATTTCAATTTAAATCAATGGGATGTTTCCCTCCATAATAAATATCAAGTCATTGTCTGTTTACGCAAAATAAATTTTGCTTCTGATTACATTTTCCATTTTCACTACCCTATATATTATAAAGTGGCAGTAAGCAATGTGCATTCAATGATTTTGTAAAGGCTACTTTGTTGATTCTTAAGAAATTGTTGTAAATTTGTCTTTCAGGTATCTGATAAATCCTGAATATCATTTAGTCATGAAAAGTGATGTTGATGACACGAGAACACCGTCAGTTATTTTGCTGGAATTTTTTGAAACTTTGCCATTTAAAGATCGCACTACCGTATCTCTAGTTTTAACTCAAATACGTAACAATTTGGATGATGTAATTCCAAATACTAATCCCATCTCATGGTTCGTCGGTAAAATTAAACAGTTGCAGTTAGTATTCATGAAAATTCCTCTAGTATTACGAAAACAAATGAAGACGCTGTTACTAGAAGGACTAGAATCCTCGTTAGAGGTGTCAAACCCACTTCTGTGCATTTTTACACTCTGTCTCTGCTTATCAGAACTAAGTGCTTTTCGAAATTGTGACCGTTCAGATTTGGAAAGTGAAGATATTTGGACAACTTTACAAGTGTTAAATTCATCAGTATTTCCAAAACTGCGTGGAAGAATAAAAGAACAGAAAACAAATCTTCCTTCATTGCTTTCATGGTCTTATTGTATGTTAGCATTCACTTACCACTCTTGTGTAGAATGGATACAACAACAGTTTTGCAAACCGTCATCTTCTTTTTGTGTCCGTACTTCTGTGGCATTTGATTCGACCGTTTTAGATCATCCGACTGTACCAATTTTAATGCGTCATATTCTTCAAGCACAAATAAAGAATGAACCGTATATCATACCACAGGCACCACATACACTTTTAGATCTTTTATTTTCCAGTGCTATATCCAGCAATGCTGGCATTTTGAAGTCATGCAAAGTTAGAAAACCACATGATCCAGCTGAATGTTTTATTGAATATGACGAACCTCCCGTACAACTCATCAAAGATGACAAGAAATCAAATTGTATCCTAAAAAGAAAACTTGCATTACCTACATCTTTTCAGCATACTTTGCAAACAGATTCATTCGAGGACATCCTTTCTGACCTTAGTTTGTTGAAACAACTACTCGGAAATGCCAGCCAACAAAAATGGCTCCTTGAAAATCTCATTTTTACTTTAAGACAGACACCCTTCATATTAAAACGCTTACGATGCTGTGTGACAAATAACTCAAAGTCAAATGACAAAAATATCCACTTATATGAACAGATTTACTGCTTGTTATTACAACTGTGGTTTCGTGCTGCTGTAGACCGCGTATTGCTCAAGAATTTCCCTCAGTCTTATGTATGGTTATGTGGCTTCACTCGCCCATTGTATGAGGTATGTTTATGTTTCGAAGAAGCTTTAAAACCCTTTTTAGTTTCTCACTAGAATGAGGTCTACTTTCTAAATACTGGTGTCTCACAGTTATGTTATACATGGTGTTTTTTGGAGACTTCAGTGCACTATATTTCGAATTAGGTCAAAAATGTACGTGATTACAAAAAATAAAATAGAGGGAAGCTAAACAAAATCAAAATTGGGGGTGTTGACACCCAGAGAGAAGTTATTCATATGGAATTAGTGCGTACTATGGAGAATGACACCTAAATTGTCAAGACACGTCGTTTAGGTAACCTTATCTTCATAACCTAAGTGTGACGGACCTCATCAGTTGGTAATATATTGATTTAGCTTCCTCGAAGTTTCGTTCACTGCATAGATGTAACCAGTCACACAGATTGGCTCTAAAACGGTGTAAATATAATGATTCATCATGAGACTATAAAACTTTTTGTTATTACCTTGCTATTCAGGCTGTAACGAGGTGTTTACCCACCCATTTTTTACAATCTTGCACTGAGTTTTTCATTCCTTTTTGAAGTTACTACTCCGGAAAAGTAGTGGAACTGCTTTTGATTAGGTGCAGGCTTCGTTGGTCTACCGAAGAATTGGTAATTTTTTCATGGGCCGAAATGAACTCGTAGTCAATTTCAAATTGACCCAACATCAATTAGAAACATTTCGGAAACTGCTCAAGTTATCATTGTCTTATTAGTATTTACAAATTAAATGTAACTTTTTACCTAGCATGGAAATGTGCTCAGATTTTATTAGGTTTCATTTCAGGACTTTACAACTTACTCAGCTATTCAAAAATACGGCTAATTATACGGTAAGAGATTTTGCGCTTACAGAATGATACTGGTTTCTCATAAAGAGAATGTTTTACATAACATATCAAACTGTAATTCAGTCTTAGCAACTAACAAATCACCCACATTTGAACAGAGCAAGAACAACAGTTTGTGTGGAATAAGATGGTACCATTATTTATTTTCTTAACCTCTCATCAGCTGCATAAAGCTCAAATAAATTAAGTTCATGTACAGAACAATTTTAACATACCTGCAAGTGTTACATGATGTCAGTTGACAGGAGACTCCAAACTTAATGAAGTGTTTTAGAAAATTACACTTATATAGTATATACCCAGAAAGTTCAAGTTTAAAGAGAAATAAATGTTTGTATACAACAATAGAGGACTTACATATTAAAGACAAGAGGTGGATAAGATGACAGCTTACTAATAAGCTGAGTGAAAATGTGGCGAGTTGAACTCAGATCCTAGAAACAAGCAAAATTATACCATATTAAAGGAAGGGAGTAAGGTTATGACCAAAAATTATGCAATCAAATCAACGAGAGAGTGAAGACATGGAGTCACCACTCGAAATACATGTTGAGTCGACTACACAAATACGAAAAGGCATTCACATCTCTAGTTATCAACTATTTTCAGCAATTCTCTAGATATTTGCTGTTAATGGCGTGACAAAGAGACCTAACAGCTGCACCGTTCAGAGGAAAGAACATAATATAACCGGGAACATGTTTGCATTTAAAGTCTGTAGCAGTTGATAATAATTCGATTTCATATTATTATTTGTATTTGTAGGTGATGAGTATCAAAGGATTTTCAGAAGTTATTTTATGGACTGGACGTTTTCTGGCGGCATATGAAAATCTGTTTAGGTCATCAATCCTTAATTCACCTCACTGGTACCTACAGATGATTACAGATGCGGTGGTCGCCATAATAGATAAGTCCGAAAAAGGTTAGTTTACTTGAAATAAGTATTTGTATGTAGTCAAACAACTATGATAGAGACACTTCGTGTTTAGTCAATACAATATGAATACAAGTTGTGTTTGTTCAAACCTATAGTAGAACTTTGTAGTAACGCCAAGTCATTCTATTCACCAGTTATGAGAGCACAAATATTAAAAGAGCCAAAAATAGACCTCATGGTAAAAAAATAAAGTGATTTATAATTATCCAGTAGCATTCACTGTTGTAATTTTGACTTAAGGAAATACTGCTTAGCACTGACATTAGAACAGTGTGATAAAACGGCAAGCATGTAATAGGTAGTAATCGAGACAGTGATGCATCCAATTTGTGATTACTTTTCTATTCATTTAGTTTGTTATTACGTGTAATTGGCACCAAAAGATGCGCCACACAAAAGTAACAATAGGAAAATTGAAATAGAATAAATGAAGAACAACAACCAGAAAGCAAGTGAGCAGGCTAGTCAAGATCATTCAAAGGATGGTTCATTGCCTTATGTTGCCTAGAGAAAGGAAAAATGAAACTAATGTGTTCTCCGTTGACTGCAATTCTTGGCCGTTTCTGACAACGTCTCAAGCCACTGATTCGAATTGTCTCCCAGATCCCACCCAGAGAGTCGTGCTGTACTAACGGGTGCTAACCTAATATATCTTTTATCCCACGGCTACATAAAACTGTCCTCACTATCTTGCCTGCGACCATATAGTTGTAATTCTCCACTTCGACGACTCTCCTCTGAGCTTAAAGACCTGACAAGCTCATTCAATTCCCCAGCTAGCACTACTACATCTGCCGGACACGCAAGCTTCAAACGCTGACTAGTCATTAATTACATCCGGACTCCAATCTGTCGATGCATAGGCAGAGATTATCACTATACTTCTGGCCTCACAACAAATAAACGATTATTAATGCGGATCTAGTTGAGTAATGCAAATTCCGCCGTAGCGCTGAGTGCAAAACCAGCTACGCCGGTGTCCCCAGATAAGCACAGGTAGTGCACATAATTTGAACTTGCAGATGAAGAGAGCATTCGAAGCGCTTCACTGTTTTCTTGAATGAGGGTCTATGAAATGCATCAAACATCGATATTGAGGCTTGTTATCCGATTTGCATTAGTGTGCAAACAATAAAGGTGGCAGGCTTGAACGCGATACGCGGTTTTAGAATAACCGTGTTAGGTTCGGTGCTCCAGCTAGTGAACATCGTATTAATAAGCAATCGCAGATACTTATAACACAGATAAATGCACCATAACTGCTGCTATCTAATGTTGCCACCCAAAAAATTATTCTTAAAGGGGTTAAAATGTTTGTTTCTTTTCACCCTTTTGCTTTACAGGTAATCAGGAAAGTATTTCAGTCGATGAACTCGATGAAATACTGTGTACCTGTATGGCTGCGATTATCAGACCCCTTCACGCTCTCCGAATAGAAGATCATGAAACGCATCCTGAAATATCACGTGTGATCAAAGTTCCTCTAGAATCTGTTGTTTCATACATTTCATGTCGTTCAGTCAAAAAAGAAGATTCAGCTACACAAAAGAAAAACAAGAAGGCGAAATCTACAGAAACTGCAAGCACGCCAGCTATAAGTCCTAGATTACGAGATTTGATTGTTCATCATTTAATACTTCCAATGATCAGAGTCTGTGACAAATGGGCACTTGGACAGGCGAAGATAGGAATAAAACCACATTGTGCGAAAGCTCTGCTCAACCAACTAGTTAGCGAAGCTGAAGCCCACTATGCTAACTCTGAAGGCCCTAATATTGCACAAAAGTTAGACATTGTCAAGCCACCTGCCATAGGCGGTTTACATGTGACTGAAAAACTGTCTCTGAAACGTAAACGATAAAACAATTCTAATATGTACAGTTGTATATTATGTAAACATCTTATAAATTTTGATGAGTTAATTCTGTTATTTCTAGTTCGGCGATAAGACAGCTGACTCAAAATGATAAGGACTAAAAGCTGCTCAAATGCAGACGACCGTAAACACTCGTGGGCAACAAATGCCAGAGATACGAAACACCAGCGATAGGTAACGCCACACAGCCATTTTACGATTATTAAGTTAACAGGTGATATAGGGAAAATAAAGAGCGAGACAATATCCCAGAAAACTGGCGGTCTAATTAGCTCTCAGGATGGACAGCTGCAACGTTGGAAGCAACATTTTGTGTAGCAGATTAACTGGCCTACACACCTACACCCACAATCAACTTGCCCATCATCCAACACCTACCTGGATGGGATGTCGACGTCCGTCCTTCATCTGTAATTCAGCTTACAAAACCTGTCTCTAACGTGAAACAGGGAAAAGCAGCAGGACCTGATGGAAGGACTCAGGAAGTATTTAGGTTAGTGATGACAAACAGCTTCTAGGGTTAACTAAGGTTCTGTGTACTGTCTGAGAACCAGGAATCGCTCCGTTAGACTGGTGTGCGCCCTTGATTATCCCAATTCATATGAAGGGAGACAAGTCTTCCTGAGATAATCGCAATAGGAAGAGACTGATTAATATAGTATCGCAAGTTCTATATCCCACAATCACACACCGACTGAGCTCAGGACAAGTAAACCAGTTAGAATTTGGACCAGGAAGAGGGTGCATGGATCATGTGTTCACCCTCCCACAGATTCTGGAAAATAGACACAATTACCGGTGTCTAACGCTTACAGCATTTCTGGACCTGAATGTAACGTTTGATTTCATCGACTGGCGAGTGCTCTGGCAGTGTTTGGCCGTGGACAGTGTCCAGAAAGCATACTGCATTAATCAATGCACTCTACTCGGAGTTACGCAGCTGTGTCAAAGCTTATGAAGTAAGGACAGCCTTCGGTGTCCGTAAAGGGCCAATGTCCCCATTTTTGTTTAACTTCATCACAGATGTACTAATTGAGTTGATGGTGAATGACTCTAGCGACTTAGGGATTGACTGGTTATTAGGGAACAGTTTTGTGGGCCTAGAGTATGGGAGTGATATAGTCCTCCTAGGAGAAGACAGTGGTAAAATGCATTGTCTTCTGAACACCTTGAGCAGCAATATTAGAATGTTTGGCAAGAGATTCGCTGCTGTCAAATGATTTTATAGGACTAGATTACATCGATTTCCAGCTGAAATATTGGGAGTGAAGTGATAGAGCGTGTTGACCACTGCACTTATTTCGGAAGTTGCATCAGCCCTAAGGAGCTGGTTGCTGATGATATCCTAGCACGGATACAAAAGGCTCGTTTGGCATACGCCATTTTTGGCGTAGACGTGATATCCAGCTATCGACCAAAGGGCGTGTGTACTGCTCAGCAGTTCACTCCATCTTCCTTTATGGTTGTGAGAAATGGTCATTGAAGAAGTGGAAGAGATGAAAAAGCTATCTAGCTTTCTTTGATCATAGGTGTCTGCATTCTGTCTCAAGTTTTAGTTGGTGTAATAGGGTGAACAATATATAGGTTAGGCACAGAGTGTTAGGTTAGGAGGGATAACCAGTTGATGTTTTGAAGTTATACTGATTGAGATGCTTAGGACATGTATCGCTCATGCCTAGTCATTGCCTTCCTCGAAGGGCGATGTTGGGTGACATACGATCGGGTTGGAAAAGATCTAGTGGTGGTTAAGGGAAACCAAAGGATCAGTTCATGAAATCTGGAACAGTTAGTTTGAGCCACATGGGTAGATGTAGACTAACTGGTTGGGGTCCTCGAGATGCTAAAAGTCAGTGGCCGGTGATTTGGCTCAAAATCGTTTTCAACAGCGCACATGCATTCACTCGTTGAGATCTGGCACACGTATTAAACTCTATTATTTTCACACGTAACTTTCCTTTTTCCCTCACGTTTCTAATTACTATCGGTTTTTCGTTCCTTTTTTTCTTTTGTGTGCTACATAGAGTGTAGTAACTGAAAACTTCTGCACTTCTGTGCAAAGTTCTATGTCGAAACAAGTCAGTCATGCCAATACACAATGTTCACGTTCTTTACAGTCGGAGACTTGTTATTATTAGAATTTGAGTATAAAAAGAAGAGAAACAGTTCGTTTAAGTAATAAAATGCTCTATTTAGAAATAAATATTGTATGATAAAACATATCTGTGGTACATATAAGACAATTTTTGAGATTTCATTCGGAGTCTGAAGAAAACAGGTGAACTTTGCGAGTAGCATTCCCTCCGTATTTATCGTCAGATGGCAGTATATCAGTGAATCTAATGGGAAGTAGGTTAATAAGTATTTCATTAACAAAAATGAGAAAAAAAGAAATTGGACTCAAGTATACAACTACTACATCAAATAACAGAATGAAGGTACTTAAAAAACATTACAATTGCTACGATATAGTGAGGATGTTTGTGTGAACAACTTATGAATATTTTTAAGAGGGAAGTGATACATTCATTAACCTGAATAGTGAATATCTGTCCGTTGAAGAATAAACGATCTCCCTACTGTAGGAAATTGACACAATGAAATGCCCGTAGATGGTTTATTAGCATGTTTTAATAACTGGGCGTTTCGATTGTCAGTTCTTTACTGCAGGTAAATATATCCCAACTGGTGTGGTTGTTAACATGAATTTCAATCTAATGTTTGTCTTTTATTCTCACTATTAGTTGAGAGGTTGGGTTTGCATCAAAACTTTGTTGACCTGAATGATGCTTCTAACAGTACGTGAAATATATGCACGAATTTGCCCACATGAAATCGTATGAGGGATCACAACGATTACTTTGTTCAATATAGCTCTTCTAGGAAGCTATGGCGTTGATTTTGTGATTACATGTGAGTCGTCTTCTTTTGATCTGCATGCTAGAGAGTGTAGGAATCTCGTGGGTTTATGAACTACTGGTAATCCGATAGTAGAAATAGCACCGTTAGTTGTTATGTAAATAAAATCATTACGTTAATGATTGTTCATCCTTGACTAGATCTTACCGACAATGTAGCACAATAGTGAGAAAGAAAACGTGATGAATTTCAAACTCTACAACACACTTTTTCCGATTCCCGGACAAGTAAAGTTAGCCTGTTACGTCTCTGTAAGATGAAACTCTCCGTTCAAGTCTCAGCACATTCTTCGAAAGTTCAGAATTACTAACTCAGATATATCAAATCCAAGCAAAGGAACTGGTCATAGGCTACTTAAAGACAGGAAAAACGAACTGATATGAGGATCAACAACTATTCTATTAATTGGTATAAACCTAACCCCTACTATTTCGTGCTATTATTACACACTAATTTATACATTCTTGTGAATTTATTTTTCTATGCTGTGTGAACATAACTTTTCTACCACATCAGTGTGTTCTGAATTAACAAGCAGGTGCGAAAATCAGCTAATAGTTAACGCCGTTGGTAACAGCCGAACGAAATCCATGATTACAGTAACCATAGCAGTTTGTGCGATTTCTTATCACGCCACAATTTAAGGAAGTATAAAAAGGCCGAAGTATTGGGAGATTTGATGTACCTCTAACTGCATGGAACTCAACTTACTATAAATGTAGTAGCTTGGGGATATGAGGTTTTCGAAACTTTGGCTCTACCTCTCGAGGGCTACATGCTACTACTAAAGAACTGGGGTTTAATAATACATGCTCGCCAGAAAAGATCGATATTAACGACAAAAACTGATAAAGTGGTGAAACAAAAAGTATAGTTAGGTCTACTTTAACGTTAATTGTAGAATTATCTATGTTTCGAGCAGCTAGGATCCAGAAAAAGCAAATACATCAACCCAACTTATTCTCGGAATACAAATTAGTGACGATAATTTTTGTTACGGTTTCAGTGCAGATTTGTGGTCATCGCTTGTAAAGTGGTAGTCACTTTGATAAATATTTACACGATGTGTTTATAGATGACGGAGAAAATAAAAAGTTATGTGAAACACTTACTGTTCGGAATAATCTACATCAGACTTATTTTTATCAGCGTCGTCTGAGGAACTCGAAGACAACAGTCGTCTTCTTTTCTTAATTGGAACTTCTGGAGATCTGTTTGCAGAAAAATAAACACAACACAAAATAAGAATAGTCATTTAGAAAAAAAACTAAAGGCCACCAATGTCCAATTATATTCATGATTATAACGTGATAGTTGATACCAAAATACCACAGAAAAACGCATATTTTATATTGATATTTTCTAACATACGGAAACTAATACGAGTTGAATTCATGAATTATGCCTCAGGAATACCCGTCAGTAAAACCAATTGTGAAAAAAAATTTGTGTTTTGATACATGTTTGAGTTCATTGACCACATTCACATAGTGCTTATACATATTTAGGCTATCTAGGTTTACTGACCATTATCAGGTGTTTTAAATTCATTGAGAAACCGAAATTGCAAAAGCTGAGTCATGCGCAGTGATGAAAGATTCAATTACGAATGTGCAGTTAGGTGTCATTTGTGTGTCGGTGGCACAGCGGTAGAATGCTCGCCAACCACGCCTCATGTGGTCCGGGTTTCAATCCCCGGCCGACGCACTCCTTTACCTCGCTAAGCCAGTAATAAAAAAAAGCTGGTAAATAGAGAAGGTTGGGCATGAGGCTATCAACCCCATCCTGTAAAAAAAACACTGCTACAGAAACTTCATGCCTCTAGCTTGAAGCCCTATATTCCACTGGGAGCGTGAAGGAATAAAAATTTTAAAAAAGTTAGGTGTCATTTAGTAAAATGCTTCGAAAAGTCCAAGTTTTTCTAATAATTTCGGTTCAACTTATATATACATAAGTTGTAAACACTCACAATCACAAGAATTCGGAAGCAATGACTATTTCATTAATCAAAACTTGAACTAAAACAGAACACTAGTTTATATCTTTTATGGATAAACAAATAAAAAGTAGACACTGTAATCAGCATCTGACTACATAAAAGAAATGCATTTTTCACGTTAAATCATGAAA